GTATTGTCAAGGATGTTTGAAACTTTTGGTGATCCATCTTCATCTCCAATCACAGCTCTGTTCCTGCTGGAGCTTCTCTCTGGAGGGGGTGGGGGTGGAGGGACTGACCTTTTCAGGGCCTGTGCTGGGTCAGTTAGAGCCTCATCAGACTCAGTTTGTGTGTCCACAAAGTGGGTTTGTGGACAATGATGCTTTTAGCTACTTTGGGGCTAGCGACAGGGTAACTTCTTCAAATCTCATTTTGGTTTTATGAAGCCCCAAGAACTCATTTCCAAGCTCCCCTACCCCCAATTACCTACCTGCTTCACTGATATTTGCCTTTACTTCTTTTAATAACTTTCAAATCATATGAAAAACTACCTTCTGGGTGCAAATAAATCTTGGCTAAGATCAACCTATGTAACATGAGGAATTTATAAGGATATTGAGATGCCTGATGGAATTCAAGGACAAGATTGATATTGGGACTAATTAGCTGTCACTGTCCTCCCATTGTTCATCGATTTGCTCGAGCGGGCACCAGTAACGTCTCCATTGTGAGACTTGTTGTTACTATTTTTGGCATATCGAATATGTCACGGCTTTGCCATGCGGGCAGAATACTCTTGGTAGCTTGCCAGGCTCTCCGAGAGGGGCAGAGGAATCGAACCCGGGTTGGCTGTGTGCAAGGCAAATGCCCTACCTGCTAGGCTATCGCTCCTCACTACAAATTCTGCCCAGGCAAACTGGCCCCTTTTCTATGCCATGCAGGAAAACATTTGTGATTGCCAGTCTCTTTCATTTTAGGACCATAGTGAGGGGTGCTAGGGAGGTGGAGGGAGGCTTCCTTTGCAGTCTGGGGCTCCCACTCAAGTTTGCACTGTCTTGAGCTTTCTCCAACCCCGCTTATTATTTTTTTTCACCCAGACCTGGGTGGTCTGTATGCAAGGCAAGCACCTTACCCGCTGTACCATGGCTCCAGTCCCTACATCCTAACTCTTAAGACTATAGGTTGCAAGTCCCTTTGGGTTGTGCAGCTGAATGTGGTTTTCTTTTTTTTTTTTAATAAACATAAAATTTATTATTAGCAAGTGTTTGGTTGCTACACCCATTTTTATAAACCTATTGACCTGGGATGGCATAAAAACTCTAGGGAAATGGCATTGCAAGTGGGAAAAGTTTAAGGATCCCTGCTCAAGTCAGCACCAGTTGCTGGCTCTGATATTTCTAAAAGCATCATCTGATTACATGTGAGACTCTGCCACTGTCTCAGCATATTTTGGGATCACGTCTAGAAAGCCAGAGGAAGCCAGGGAAAATATCTTTCAGGCAAACAAATAGTTGTCACAGGTGTTCTTAGGAATTGGAAAACTTTTCCTCTACTAGCACGTCTCAGCTGGTGGGGCCCCTGGATTTCCAAGGAGGACGCTGGTGAATATCATAAATGAGTTGGGGGGGGGGGGGGCAGAGTATGACTGTCTGGAGCCAACCGGCACTGGTAGGATAGGATAGGGGTGGAGTACCGGAAGGAAACAGGGCAGGAAAATGTCGACAAATGCTGGTCTAGAACAGTGTTCAACCTTTCTATGACCGTGCACTGGGGACATTGGGAGAAACTGCCGGTTGGCTGATCCCTAAGGCAAAAAACCTCAGAATGTAGCTACTACTTTATTTATTTCAACTAGAAAGATCACCATGGTGTCTTTATAACTGTCTCTTCTTTTCCACTGGAAATGCCTGCTCCTGTGTATCTTCCTAGGCTCCTGCTACATAATCTTCCATGGGCTCTCAGTAAAGTTGGCCGAATTTAATTGAAGGTGATTAGTGCAAGAACTTGTGATATAAAATGGTCCAACAGAGCTCAGTGGGCAGGAGAACATGCTATGCATGTGAGAGGCCTGGGATCAATTCCGGTACCATGAGCACTGTTAACAGTGGCCCAAAACAAAAAGCCAGAAGAGTTTTTGAATGATCTGGTTTTCCTTTATATTATATATCTAGCACTTAACCTGAAACTTTATTTATTAAATCTAATCCACCCAAGTTCGATTCCTCCGCCTCTCATGGAGTGCCCAGCAAGCTACCAAGAGTATCTCGCCCGCACGGCAAAGCCAGGCAAGCTACCCGTGACGTATTCGATGTGCCAAACACAGTAACAATTGTCACAATGGAGATGTTACTGGGCCCGCTCAAGCAAATCGATGAACAAAGGGAGAACAGTAACAGTGACGGTTAAATACAGTGCAGCGCCAAATCAGGTATTGACAAAGTGACTGGGGGAAAACATATGGTGGACTGCCAGAAAACTTCTGTGGATTGTTGGTGGTCCTGTGGACCATAGGTTGAAGGACAGGGATCTAGATGGTCCTGATTTTTATTTAAATTTGGTTGTGCCCACAGCTCCTTTAAAAATATTTACTTCAGGTTTGATCCTCGGCATTCCATACGGTACCCTGAGCACCACCAAGAATAATTCCTGAATGCAGAGGCAGAAGTAACCCCTAAGCACTGAGGAGTATAATTCTGCCCCCAGCAAGAAAAAAAAAAGCCATTTTTTTTTTAAATTAAAAACTGGCTTTGTATTCAACCAGTGCTATCAATTCACAGCTTGGTAGACTCTGTGGGATGTGGCTCAGTGGAACAGCAATGCCCTAAAGTATGAGGTTCTGGTTTTCATCCCTGGCACAGAATCCACCTTTCTGAATGAGTATCGTCAACGAGACCCCTGAATGTCATGGGGGCATGGCCCCATAACAATTTAAAGAGGCACAACTGAGGGTGAAGGACTGCATCATGATTAGGGTTTCTGGAATTACTCCTGGTGTTCAGGGAACCATATGGGATGCTGGGGATTGAACCTGGGTTGGCCACATGCAGGGTAAATGTGCTACCTGCTGTACGATCTCTCCAGTACCCACACTTTCTATCTTAAACAGAACTTTCTATCCTTCCTCTTACTTGTCCTTTCTATCCTTCCACTTAATGTTTTATTCAATTAATGTATTTAGGTTCTGGGGGGTATTCTTGGCTCTGTACTCGAGAGATCATACACAGTGCTCAGGGTCAAACTGGGGCTGGCTGCATACAAGGCAAACTACCACCTGCACAATCTTTCCTTACCAACCCCCTTCATATTTTATAACCAAATTAGCTCAACACTTATTTATTTTCGAACGGTGGGATTGCTGTTAGTATGACTGTTGTCAATCACAATTCTCACTATATTTAATATTTTTAGGTTTCAGGTGTTTCTTTTGAGAGAGGGTCTCAGGGGTTACTTTTAGCTCAGTTTTCAGTTCTCATGGCCACACTCAGGGGACCATGTGTGAGGGGATAAAAATCAAGTCTCCTACATGCAAAGCATGGGCACCAATTCATAAGCGATAGCTCTGCACAATTTTCAGGTTTTTTTTTTTTTTATTAAAAGCAATGCTTCTATTACTTTGAAAATTGGGAGGGGGCTGGAGCGGTAGTACAGCGGGTAGGGCATTTGCCTTGCACGTGGCCGACCTGGGTTCAATTCCCAGCATCCCATAAGGTCCCTGAGCATCGCCAGGATTAATTCCTGAGTGCAGAGCCAGGAGTAACCCCTGAGCATCGCTGGGTATGATGCAAAAAGAAAAAAATAATCGGGAGAAAAATACTTTACTTTTAAAAGTGAAAAGTTATCTAAAGAACTGTTTTGAAACGGACAGCAGTTATTGGTGTTACCAGACCACATTGTTATGAATGTGATCTGTTCCATTTTGGTGGAAATGGTGACAGGATATTCACGTGGGCCTGATACCAGTGTTAGTAACTCCCAGTGTATTTTGAATTTTCCTAAGTTGAAGTGGGTTCGTTCAGTGAAAAAAGTGGTTTTCAACCCTTTTATCAGACCCAGAATTGAAAATCATTTAGCCCAGTGGTTTTCAGTTCTGGGTGTGCCCACCAGTTCCTGTCTGCTGGTAGTCTGAAAAAGCTATAAACTACTGGCATATTTTGTTATTAACTGCTGAATTTATCAGTCCACAGGTGAAAAAGGGTTCCTGTTACCACCTCCCTCCAAGCTAATTCCTCTACCATTTATTCTGCTTCGTAACTTGAAGCCCAAACTTCAATAAATACCTCATAAGAATCTCCATAAGAGTTTTCTTATCGAGATGGGAATATAACAAGTTTAGTGACTTTATTTTAACTGTAGGAATCAGACTTTAGGTTGGCTTGGGAGAAAAGTTCAAACATGAAGATGCAATATTTGTCTATGCTTTGTTAATGAGATTAGTGTTAATATGGAAAGCCATCAGTTTAAAGCAATGTAGCAAATAAATGTACAATTCTTGATTAAAAATAAAAAGGACTGAGCATGTGGAGTTGGTCAGGCCCTGTAGAACCAGCAACCTCTAGGTCCAACCAGGTGGGCTCATGGGGGTCCCTGGGGCCTCAAGCACAGTGCAGTGGGGGCCATGTGGTGCCAGGGTTCAAAGTCTTGGCACAAGTAAAGCCTTTCTACCTAGTCTCTAAATTCATGATTTCCATTTACTATGAGATTTACGTGGTCAACCAAATATTCAGATTTGGTTTGAAACATATTACTTTTCCTTCCAGAAACTTTTTTATCCCCACACTCAGGACCAGGGATCAAACCCATGTGCAAGGCCTCACACATCTATGAGAACTATGCTCTACTGCTCAGTTGGTCCTGGCTCTGCCAATTCAGATACTGACTTTCTGCTAGTTTTATAAATGCCACTCAATATCTAAGTGGGTATCAATTAACAGCAGGTTAGAAAGTTCCAGGATGTATTAATTTAGAGTAGAACTAATATTTATTAAATTTATTCTAAACAATCTACACTGAAACAACCAGAATAGACAGAATAAAATATCACATATTTTAACCCTGTGAAGTTCAAGTTCAGGGTAATCTGGTTCCATTTTGTGTGTTGGGGAAAAAAAAATCAACTGAGAAATTTCTTAAAATCAACGCAACTGCAAAGGGGCTGTTCCTGTCACATCCAGAAATTAACAGAACACTTGAAAAAAACAAATATAAATTTAATAATAAACATTATGGTCAGGCTGTTTATTAAGGAAGCAACCACACATACAAGTTCAGCTATAGAAATGTTTGCAAATCAAACTTCATGTGATCTAAAAGGACCATGCGTAATGTCAAAAATGGACGCCTGTACATTCAATAAAAAGTTAATTTAAACATACAGAGTCTAGATCATTCTAGAATTATACAAACATCTGGGGCCACATAGATATCTAATTTTCCTTCAAAAAAAACTTTATAAAAGTGATGTATTGATAAGTTTAAAAAGTATCTGACAATTATGAATGGTCCCCAGTTTTACAAAATGTGATTTCCAGGGTATGAAAACTGAAAAAAGTCAACTCTTCAGAGTGTTTTATATTATACAAACAAGTTTTATAGAAAAATGATCCAGCAAATGCTTGAGTTAAGAATATTTATATTTTTCCAATTCTTTACATTTTTATTAACACACTTACAAAAAATAACATTCAAACACTGAAAAAATTAAATAACTTTGGAAGCAGAGTTCATAGTTTTCTGCTTACATATAAGTGACAATTCTGGGCTGTTGGCACAAAAAATAATCAACATTCATAAAACCCTTACTACTATATATCAAACATAAGTTAAAATCATAGGCACTAGTTTATAAATCCACATAGTTCTTATAAGACTAACCACAGTGAATCCTTAGATTTTCCCAAACAGAAAAATTGGCAATACACAAAGGCTTTCTAGTAAAAAGGCAATTTTTCTCTTTAGGAAACTAAAAGTTCGTGGTAGTAAAACAGCAGGTAAAATAATACTTTACCCAACTCAGATTCAGTATGTTTCAACAAGTAATGAAATATTTTAATAAAAAAAATATTTTTTTCTGATGCAGCCATTTAAAAACAAAGTCAAATAACCTGAATACTCCTTTGAAACAGCTAACCTAACTTAAAAAATGTAATAGGTGTTTCATAATAGTTAAAATTCCTGTAATCATTAAATTGCAGCATATTTTTTCTTTGTAATGTTGCACTAAAAACTGAGACCTATTTTGTCTTGTGTAGATGTGGTTTTAAAAAGAGACTGTGACTAGTTCTATTACTTAAGATATTCTCCCACCTGAAGCAGATGCTTTCCTTATCTTTCTCTGAAAAGCAACATATTTAAATTCATCATGTGGAATTCTGGTGCTATCCTTTCCTGACCCATCCCCTTTGCCCTCAAACTCAAGGGAAAAATTTCTTCCTTGCATTACACACCAAAATATATCAGCACTGGCCGCTCAGACCTGCAGGGCTCTGCTGAGTGACTCCCTACTGGTCACGCTCCTAAGATTACAGTGGTGAGTCAGGCTCTTGGCTTCAAGTCCTAACCATTCTTCAGTCTGTCAGCCTTGATGCAATCCTGCACACCAAGCTTTACATTTCTCTCTCCGTTTCTTTTGCCAACTTACAGAATGTCTTTGACTAACAGAAAATGAACTTATATTCAAACTTATGTCTAAAATTCTTTATGTGAGTCACTTGCCAATAGTTCAGAGCCGTTCAAATTGAAGTATTTAAGACCGATCTCATTACCAAAACAATAAGAAACCTGCTGCAGAAATTTGAGTTTGGTAATAATTGTGGTCAAACCAAAACGAGTGATTTCCAGGTTATACATCAGAGTTCTTAGAGAGCAAGTATTTAACAGGTTTGAGTGATAAGTCGGTTTCATGTTACCAAAAATACGAAAATCGATGTAAGGAAGAATCTAAGTCAAAGGGACAGTATTTTCAAAAACCGTTTTATACAGTTACACGTTTTAAAGTGAATTAACTTAAGTAGGCTAGTTTTCTTACCACATAACAAACCGTTGTGTCAAATAATAGCAACAATACAATTGTCGTTACCAGAGATTTTTATAAGTTAAATGCATAGATTTTCCCCCCTCTCTCTCATTATGGTTTTGTTCCAGGTTGTAAGCACTGAGGTGTTGTATTTCTATCAAGAATAAAGATACACACTACTTGCTCTTTCCCATCATGAAAACCTGCTAATAAAAATGAAATCTCTTAGTTGTGTAACAGTTCTGCAACAGCGTTGAAGAAGCTGGCTTCCATAGCAAAGGTTATCATTCCTGAGCCAGAAGCGATCAAGTTTAGAAAGATTGTACAACTGATATTAAGCCCTTTTGGCAACCAACAAACACACAGAAGTCTGATATGTCAACGCAACAGGATGGATGCAAGCTGAGACACTGTCAGCGGTGGCGCTATGTGAGCTCCATCCGAAACTTACAACAAAATGACAATTTTTTTCTAACGAATGAAATATGCAGAAGTAATTAATAGGAGTTTTCCCAATTTAAGGATCCTGCTTTGAATCTCTAGCCCAGGTTTCTTTCCCCATTGTCGACCTCAATCTGTTTCCTTGGAGTTCTAGTGAAACACTAGGGAAATATTTTTAGATAATTAGCCAGAATGTTCTCATTAACATACATATTTATTGATACTATTTGTACAGTAAGTTCAGCTGAACATGAAGTTTTGGATAGCTTAAATTCACTATTTCTTGTGTACGAAGGTACTCTCACAAATGGGCATTTCTCTTTGGCATCCATAACTTTTTGCCCGATATTGGCCTCTGTCAAAATTTTTAAAAATCAATTTGGTTTCTAATAAACAAAATGAAAGTGAATCCATGGAGTGCGGAGAGTGATTGTATGATTACCAAACACATCTGATGTTAAATGTCATTAAAGTGCTGCTTGATCATCTCTGTCAGTTTGTGCTAGTTACGACAGAGAGGGCTGGGATTACAAAAACCCCGAGAGTCTTATCGGAACAGTCTGCATATAAAAGTCATCTTTTAGCCTGGTGAAGGGACGTCCAAGAAGCCGAGGACCGCTGCACTTGTGGCTCTGCTGGTCAGTAACAGCCATCTTTCCAACTGTCATCTTTCATGCTACCATACGTTTTAGGAGCTGGCAAGGATCTGAAATAAAGCAATTTCATAAAGTGACTTGAAAGACTATAAAGAAATTAAGCATTCCACTTCCCACAGACATTAATTTCTTTCCAGGTATGATATTCAAGGAAGGCTGTTCCAGATTACTGAGAGCAAATTTCCAAAACAACTGTTAGCATAACCATCCCACCCTTATTTCTATAATTTGCAAGTTTTACTGGATATGTGACTTCGTTAATCTTTTTGTTACTAAAACTATCTGAGTAATACGCAAGAAATGATGGAAAGGAAATTAAGGCAACTGCAAGATAAACTTATGAATGTGAGTGACAGAATGATGACTGTGCTACAGAAGTCGAGTGCCGCCAGAATCAGAGAGATAGAATGGGATAAACATACTAGATTTTGAGGTCAGATATACTAAGAACTGAAGATCTTACTGTTTATGTGCCCTTAGGCAAATTACAACTCATTTGGTTCATTAAAATTCAATTTTCTTGGGATAGGGGGTCAGCTCAATTGGCTGAGCACTCACAAAACATACTTTGCAGGTAGGGAGCATGAGTTCAACCCCTGGCATCACACAAAAACTCCAAGCACTGCATCGCTGAGCAGTGCCATGAGTAGACTATGCACTGCCAGATGTGGACCCCAACCAAAAACCATATTCTCCTCTAAAAACAGGAATAACAACAGGACTTACTAATTTAATGCTTTTGTGAAATTAAATGTGGCCAGTGTAAATTATTTAGTACAACAGAGAAAGCAAAAGCTATTGTGCTCTTACTATTCAGAAATGTTATTCATCTTTGAATAAGTATATGGACAAATCAGCGTGAAGTTTATGGAATACATTTTCCTAAGCAAATAAATATTTATAAAGTTTTTTTACATCGACAACTAAGTTTTCTGGTTACATTTCTGAAAGGTCAAGATTACACAGATGCATGGTTCTGAAACTTGTTGGAATCTGTAGAACCTAAAGATTCAAATTAATTAAAAATATCACCCGCATATATTCTGGGCCACAAACTGGATCTGCTCTGTGCAGAGTAAAACTAAGGTCTCTATACTTACATATACATAAGATTCAGAATCAGCGCCTTGGAAAACCACCCTCCCAGATTATATTCAGAACCAATATGTAAAAGTTCTATCTCGACTCTTACTCTAGATTCTAATATATATTTGTCGGGCTGGAGCGATAGCACAGCGGCAGGGTGTTTGCCTTGTGCGCGGTTGGCTCAGCTGAGCCAGGTTCGATTCCTCCGCCCCTCTCGGAGAGCCCGGCAAGCTTCTGAGAGTATCTCGCCTGCACAGCAAAGCCTGGTAAGCTACCTGTGATGTATTCGATATGCCAAACACAGTAACAACGAGTCTCACAATGGAGACGTTACTAGGCCCACTCGAGCAAATCGATAAACAACGGGAGGACAGTGCTACAGTGCTACAGATACAATCATTATATTCAAAATAAACAAGTGTAACAACCAAATTGTGCTGTTATAATAACTTTTTTCTTTTTGGTTTCGGGTCACATCTGGTTCTGCACAGATAAACTTACGAATTTGAGTGACAGCAGGGTGCTGGAGGTGCACAGAGGAACAAACCTGGGTGTACCCTGGGCAAGAAAAGTGCCCTATCAGCTGTACTATCACTCCAGCCCCCAATCTAGTAATTTTCTAATCTAATGAGATGTTTGATCATTTTAGATATCTGAACAAATTTAATCTGACCTAAACTAGTATATTGTGATGTCCCAAATAAAAAAGGGTTTAAAAGAAAGTTATCTTTAAATTCAAATTATACTAAGATGACAGCGGAAATCCATCATGCTATGTTCATTATCAAACGAGGTGAGGGTAACTCTAACCCTACCTGCTTTTCTGGAAGAAAGAACATTACACATATCCAAAGGGAGGTCCCATCACTCACCTGCGGACAGGTTGTGCAAGTTTGCTGCGAGGCACTGGTATACCCCCAGCAGAAGGGGCACTGGGTCTAGGCAAGCCACTTCTCATGGAGGATGTCCCTGCAGGTCTGGTCAGAGTAGTGCTATTGATATTGCTGGGAGGATTTGCCGGCACTGTGCTCTGAATCAAGGGAGGCCCAGGTGAGGAGGTGGTTTGTGTGAGTTGTGTTGCTTCTTGGCCAACAGAAGAACCAGAGCCATGGTTACTAAATGCTTTAACCGGCTGCCGGAGAGCCAAAGGAGACGGTGCTGCTGGGGAGCGAAATTTGCCAGGAGAAGGTACTGTAGAATGGCAAAGGAAAATAAACATTAGGATTTTCAGTGGAAGCCAAATGTAAGTGAATTTACTATTTTATATTACACTTGATGACCAGGCACCAAGGTATTCATAACATCTCAACTGAGAAATACAGCATATTTTTGTGCTTAGAAAAAAGTCCTAAATAAACAAGTCTTTGCTCAGATGTCAATTATCTCTGACAATATAGCTAGGTCAGCTAGTAATCTACAATAGCAGAAGAGAAAAGGCATGGCAGGACTCAATTTCACTGTAGCAACTAGTCTAGGACACATTCTAGAAGTTAAAAAAAAATTAACTATCAGATGTTGGTGACAATTTAAAACATACTTTCCTTCAAAGAAACACTAATATAAGCACGTAACAAGAACCTCCAGGTCCTGTATCACTTACAGAGTAACTTAAAATAAAAAAATGAAATAATTAAGGGGCAGGAGCAATAGTATAGATAGAGTGTTCGCCTTGCATGCGGCAGACCTGGGTTCAATCCCTGGCACCCCATATTGTTCCCCTGAGCCTGCCAGGAATGATCCCTAAGTGCAGAGCCTGGAATAAACCCTGAGCACCACCAGGTGTGGTCCCCAAATAAAACAAGGTAAAGGTAAAGGTAAAGGCCCTCCCGTTGATCGTCGATTTGCTCAAGCGGGCCCAGTAACGTCTCCATTGGAGACTTTGTTGTTACTGTGTCTGGCATATCGAATACTCTCGGTAGCTTGCCGGGCTCTCCGAGAGGGGCGGAGGAATCGAACTCGGGTCGGCCATGTTGGCCGCTTGTAAGGCGAATGCCCTACCCGCAAAACAGACAAAAATATCAACTGTTATACTTCACCTAGCAGAGAAGTTGTAAATCTCACAGTCTATCAAGAGGTGTAAGAAGTCACAGGATAAAGATGGTACATTTTCCTAAAAAGTCAATTCTACTAAGTGGCAAACTACAATTCTTTTTCTAATAGTATTAATATTCTTTTTAATAAATTTTAGGCTTATTAAAACAAATGCCAATCTAAAAAAATACATATATACTTTGCATTAATTTGGGGGGAGTTTGAACCCAGGTGTTGTGTTGCTCCAGGGCTACCCCCAGTTTGGTGTTTGGGGGTCACTTCTGTGATGCATGGAGGACCACACAGTGCCAGGGATTGCAGCCAGCCATCCTGCATTTTAAAACAAACAGAAAAAAAAAAAAACAGGCAAAAGATCTCCAAGATGGCATACAGATAGAGGGCTAACAGGCGAGAAAGAAGCTCTTCATCTCTTTACCCAAAATAACAAGTGCTGAAGAGAACATGGAGAGAACAGTACCTTTATAAGATGTTGGTGGCAATACAAACTGGAGTAGCAATTGTGGAGGGCAGTACGAAGATTCCACAATTAAACATAAAACGCCAAATGATTAATTCCACTTTAGATATTTACTCCCAAAACACTAACTTACTGAGCTATGTTGCACTCGTGTTCACTGCAGCATTGCTTACAATAAAATAATGAAGGACTGGAAACAACCTAAGTGCCCACTGATGACAGGATAAAGAAAACGTATATGACACAATGGACTCCTATTTAGAATTTGAAAAAAAAAAAATAGAAGAAATCCTGCCACATGCAATAATATGAGTGGGAGCTAAAAGGTATTATGTTTAGTCAATCAAGCAGATGGAGAACAAGCACCATCTGAGTTTACTAATATGTGACATACAAACAAAATAAGGTGGTTATCAAAAATTTTAGATGCTGCAAAAGGGAGGCATGTGAAAATATAACCGTAAGAATTATCCAAACAGGCACAGAGACTAAAAAGACAAAAACCAAAATAACAAAGCCTTGATATCATGTGGTCTGACATATGCAACTCAATCCCAGAGAGTATGAGTGGGACAGAAAAATACATGACACAATAGCTGGAAAACTTCCAAACTTGATCAAAAAGCTAAATTCACACATAGAAGTGGCACAAAACCCACGACAGGCAAATACCAGATCAAAACATTAATCAGGGGGATGGAGTGATAGCACAGCGGGTAGGGCATTTGCCTTGCACATGGCCGACCCAGGTTCGATTCCCAGCATCCCAGATGGTCCTCTGAGCTACCGTCAGGAGTAATTCCTAAGTGCAGAACCAGGAATAACCCCTGTGCATCGCCAGGTGTGACCCAACAAGCCAAAAAACAAAACAAAATACGAATCAGAGGCCAGGGTGACGGCACAGTGTGTTGGGTGCTTGCCTTACTTGTGGCTGACCAGGGTTTGATCTCTGGCACCAGAGTTTTCCTGAGCTTTGCTAGGAGTGATCCCTGAGCCCAGCCAGGTGTGGCCCCAAAACCAAAAAGAGAGAGAAAAAAATAATAAAATAAAAAGAAAGAAACTAATCAAAGGACTTTTTAAAAACGTATTTTAACTAAAGTATAGGAATTCAGTATATAAGAGGTTCTGTTTTCCAAATGATTGATGACAGCAGGTTATATTTTCTCTCATTTTAGTTTCTGAGTTACATTTGAATTGAGGCATTAAATGATGGCATGCTATCTGCTCTCAGTAAGATTAGAACTCTATTTATAAAACTGACACATGACTACAATGCTAACCTTGGTGTCAAAGTCATGTCTAAAATGGAATGAATGGCGGATGATTAAAATTTAGAAAAGTCACACACTAAAAACAATCTAAAATAGAAAAAGTTGAATTAACTATGCAGTTTTCAGCTTATCAGTCACCAAATACAAATGCTTTATAATGTACCTCACATGTATTTTAGCAATATAAAACCCCATGCATTCTAAGGCGTTTTCACAGTAATGTGTCCACTTTCAAACTACCGATCACATTCACTTTATAATTTAAAAATCATATACGTATGCAAGAAATACATAGCTTGCAATAAGAATATACACTGTCAGATACTGGCCATTATGACAACAGAGAAAAAATTTATTAAAATATGTATGCACTTAATTTAATAAAGTATAAGGAAAAATTCCTTTTCAATTATGCTTTATTATATGGTGATCTCAATTATTCAGTTTATGCACCATGATATTAACAGGTTATTGAGGTAAGACTAGGACATAAAAAATTAAGCTGTTACTAAAGACTAGAGAATTTTTGTTAAGTTTCTAGTAACTATCTACTTCAATCTTTATACTGTACAGAAAATTACCAATACCCATAGTCTGCCGTTGATCTAATTTCTGCAAACAGAAAAGTTAAGACTTGGGGCCGGGTTTGATCCCTGACATCCATATGGTCCCCCAAGCACCACCAGGAGTAATTCCTGAGTGCAAGGCCAGGAGTAACACCTGAGCATCCCCAAGTGTGGCCAAAAATAATAACTAAAAAATAAAAAGTTGAGACTTGACACCAGGTTGCTGACTGTCAGATTGGTAGATTGGCAATCCTTATTAGGACCCTAGAGAAACATCTCTATGAATAAAAATTCAAAGTTGTTTCCACTATTTTAACTTTCAAGTCGACGACACAGGTTAAAAAAAAAGTAAACACAGGGCTGGGGAGATAGCTCAAGTGGTAGAGCGCATGTTCAGCATGCACAAGACCCCGAGTTTGAGCCTCAGCACCACCCCCAACCCAGCACTGCATCTCCAGGTGGAGCACCCCCATTTAAGAAACAAAACTAGACAAAATTGTGATCTGACAGCCACTAATTACCGTCAGCTTACACAAGCATCTCTAAAATGAACAACTGACTTTATCTTTAAAAAAACGAAAGGCTTACAGGTCTCTTCTCCTAATGGTGAGCACAACTCATCATTCACTATGCTCACATAACACATAACTATGCTTATTTTTGTAAGCACAGTCACTGTGGCTTACTGGGCCGAGGGTGAGCTCAGTGGGAGAGAGCGTGCTTTTTAAGCGTGAGGCTGGTTCCATCCCTTGCAACTGCCCCCACCCCCACCCCAGAAGTCTTAAATCCAAGAGACAGAATAAGTTTCAGTCTGGGAATAGTTAAGACTGATGGATATCAATAAGCTACCATTACTGCCAATATCTGCAGCCTACTATTCCAGTTTTCACTGAAAACAAAAAACGACATTGTAAATGGGCCCTCAAGATGATTACTTGAATATCAATCAAGAGCTTTTAAAAGTGTGCCAGAGAAAAAGTACAGAGATCGGGCGTCTGCCTGGCATTCAGCTGACCCAGGTTTGATCTCTGGCACTACATGTGGTTCTCCAAGCGCACGAGAGCGATCTCTGATCACAGAGCCTGGGGAAAGTCCTGAGCACAGCCGTTGTGCACCAAAAACAATTTTTTAAAACTATTTTCATTCAACTGAAAATACCACTCTTGTGAAAGTTTTTTAAAAAAAAAATTAATGCAAAATAAACACAGAACTCAGAAACTGTTCTCTAGTCTGGTGTTGGAAATTTTACAACCATACATGCTACACTTGCAAAATAAAAAATTAATTTGATTATCAAGATATCCATGAAATTTTAAGAGACATTAGTATAAAAGCATGTTTAAAATATATGGACACAATTGCACACCTATCACTTTACCTTGTAGCTCCAGCCCACAAAGCTCTATTCTGTAACACTTCCCAAAAAACAGCAGAAGAGGGAGCTTTAGAGCTGAAAATGAGGAAACCTTGCCCAGCTGCCTTAGTATTTAGAAAAATTAATTTTACTGAATAAGTAGTAGAACTCTGGAAAAAATCCTATACAAAAGTTAGTATTAAAAATGAATAAGGTGGGCTGGAGCAATAGCACAGCGGGGAGGGTGTTCGCCTTACACGCAGCTGACCTGGGTTTGATTCCCAGTATCCCATATGGTCCCCCTAGCACTGCCAGGAGTAATTCCTGAGTGCATGAGCCAGGAGTAACCCCTGTGCATTATCGGGTTGTGACCCAAAAAGAAAAAAAAAAAAGAGTAAGGAACAGAATAACATTTTCTTTTTTTAATCGTGGGATCTTGCCCCAAACCATGCCAATCTACAAACACAAAAATTAAAATCTAACATTTTAAG